TGATCCAGTTTCATTCTCTTACATGTAGCTGTCCAGTTTTGCCAACACCAGCTGTTGAAGAGGCTGTCATTTCCCCACTGTATGTCCATGGCTCCTTTATTGTATATTAATTGACCATATATGTTTGGGTTAATGTCTGGACTCTATTCTGTTCCACTGGTCTGTGGGTCTGTTCTTGTACCAGTACCAAACTGTCTTGATTACTGTGGCTTTATAGTAGAGCTTGAAGTTGGGTGCAAAGAACTTTTACTGCACAATACTAAAAAGCTAAAAACTCAACCAGAAAAAGGCAGAAAGGGCAAAAATTTGGGCACCTCACAAAAACAGATATATGAATGGCCAATAAGCACATGAGAAGTGATCAGCATCATCAGTCATCAATGAAATGCAAATTAAAACCACAGTGGAAAACCTCTGCATAGCCACTTGGATGACAAGGATATGCAGCCAGCAACTGAACTCTCATACACTGCAGGTAGGGTGTAAAATGGTATAGCCTCTTTGGAAATACGTTTGTCAGTTCCTTAGAAAACTAAACATAAATCCACCCTACAACCCAGCAATTCTACTCCTAGGGGTTTACCCAAAACCAATAAAAAGCGTATGTACACATAGACACTTGCACTTGAATCTTCATAGCGCATTTACTTGTGACAGTCTAAATCTGGAAACCATGAGAAACCCATGAAAGGAGAATGGGTAAGTGAAGTGTGGAACATTGACAAGAGGAATACTATTCAACAATAGAGAGCAACAACATGAATGAATGTCAAAAGCACGAAACTGAATGAAAGTCCTATACAAAGAGTACATACTAAGAGGCGGGTCCAAAACAGTGGCACTGAAAGAGCCTGAGCCACCTCCTCTCACATACACACTGAATCGACACCTGCACACAGAGCAGCTCATCCCAAGAAGAACGCAGGCCTGAGTGAACACCTGCACAATGAGGGATAAGACGACCACAAGAAGGACAGCAAGAGACACGGAGACATGGTAATGGGGGGAGCCCCACTCCCAGCACAGCCCTGCAGTAGCGAGGGATAGCTCTTGAGCTACAGAAGCAGACTTGCCTGCCCTGGGGCACAGGATAAAAGCCACGAGTTGGAGTGTTTAAACCTGGCTGCAGCTATAACTGAAGGAAGCTGGTTTTCATAACTCAAGCACCTGCCTAACAGCAAGAGAAGCAATGGAACTCCCTCCAGGGGCAGAGGGCTGGTAAGCACCACTGTTTGTGTCCCTAGGACAGTGTTAACAGGGACAGAAGCAGGGTGAGCACCACTGTTCATGGTCCCCCCATGCAATGGTCATGCAGAAACGAACTGGGTGAGCCACGTTGTTTGCATTACCCATGCACATTGCTAATGGGGCAGGAGCAAGGTGTGAACACATCATCTCCAAATGTGATGGAGGCGACCTCCCAGCCCCTGTCCAGACCCGAACACACTTAGCAGAGGTCCAGCAGTCCCATCCAGGTGGTACTAACATGATATTCATGCAGATTCACCCTGCCCGTGCCCCTCCCATCTCCAGCTGACCCTCATGTACAGGGTTGCCAATCTAGGAGACCCCCAGACTGCACCCATCCACCCCCAGCTGCCCATTAGCATGGCCCCAGCTGGCACCCATATAAGGAGGAAGGCCCCTGGACTATGTGCCTCTGTTCCCAGGTAACCAGCTAGAGAGGAACCAGTCCACTGCCCACCAAGGAGCTTGCCAGACCATGTCCCTTTGAAATAAGCATGGCCCTGGCTGGCACCCACACAGGAGACCCTTGGCCCACATCTGCGAGGCCCTTGCACTGGGATACCCAGTCCACAGCCACCCAGCCTCCAGCAAGGCACATGCAGTCTCCCAAGGGGACATTTCTACACAGGCCATGCCCAGCGAGACGGAGAGAGGTAGACCTTTCACCTAACCTACAGAAACAAACACAGAAGTTAAACAAAATGAGGAGACACAGTAATATGCTTGAAACAAAAGAACATGACAAAACTTCAGGAACAGAACTACCTGAAACACAGTTGAATAATCTACCCAACAAACAATTTAAAGTAACAGTTGTAAAGATGCTCACTTGGGAGAAAACAGACTTGAGAAAAAAGTGGAAGAACTTGGTGAGAACCTTTACAAAGAGATGGAAAACAGAACCAATTGGAAACAAAGGATACATCTCAGTGAAATGAAAAATACTCTAGAAGGAATCAACAGCAAAACAGAGGATGCAGAAGAACAGATCAGGGATTTGGAAGACAGAGTGATGGAACACTCGAGCTGAATAGCAGAAAAAAAAAAATAAAAAGAAATGAGGCTAGGTTAAGAGAACTCTGGAACAACATCAAACATCATAATATTTGTATTGTAGAGAGTCCTGGAAGGAGAAGGAGAAAGAGAGGGGCAGAAAACTTATTTAAACAAGTAATAGCTGAAAACTTCCCTAAGCTAGGGAAGGAAACAGACCTCCAGGTCCAGAAAGCGCAGAGAGCCCCAACCAAGATGAACACAAAGAGGTCTATACCAAGACACATAATAATTAAAATATCACAGATCAAAGACAAAGAGAACCTTAAAAGCAGACTGAGAAAAGCAATGGGTTTACCTACAAGGGAAACCCCACAAGGCTCTCAGCCTAACTTTTCAGCAGAAATTCTACTGGCCAGAAGGGAACTGAGAACAGTCTACCCAGCTATCATTCAGAAGTGAAGGAAAGATGAAGAGCTTCTCAGATGGGCTCAGGTTCAAGGAGCTGACCGCCACTGAACCAGCCTTACCAGAAATATTACTGAGACTTCTTTAAGAGGAAAAGAAAAGGCTATACCTAGAAGCAAGGAAATTAAAAAAAGAGAAAATTTCACTGGTAAAAGCAAACAGCAAAGGTGTAGACTGATTGCTTAAAAGCTAGTGTGAAGGTTATAAGACAAAAGTAGCAAAATCAACTACTTCTAAACACTAGCTAAGGAATCACTAAACAAAAGGTGTTAAAGATAAGACATATACATAAACCACGGAGGAGGGGGGAATTAAAATGTAGTGCTGTTAGAATGCATTCGAACTCAAGCGACCAACTTAACAGACTCCTATATATGTAAGACATTATACAGAAACCACATGAAAAGCAAAACAAAGAACAAAACAGCAGTAGGGAGGGGTTGGGGAGGGTGGGTGGGGAGGGAGAAGGGGATTAAGAGTCATCACAATTCGCAATCACGATATACGAGGTCATGGGGACGGTAACACAGCATGGAGAAGACAAGTACTGACTCTATAACATCTTACCACGTTGATAGACAGTGACAGCAATGGAGGGGGTGAGGACTTGATAATATGGGAGAATGCTGAACAACAGTGTCCTGCATGTGAAACCATCGTAAGATCATACATCAATGATACTTCAAAAAAAAAAAAAAACAAAGAAACCACATGTAACCAAACAAAACTTATAATAGATACAAAAAAATAAAGAGAAAGGAATGCAACCATAACAAGAGAAGGCAAGAGAAAAAAGATGAACCAGAGAACAATGACACAAACAGATAACGTTGAACAAAATGACATACGTACACCCCTATGAATAATTACTCTAAGTATAGACTAAATGCTTCAGTCAGCACAAGACCCACCTACATGCTCCCTACAAGAGACTCACTTCAGTCTTACAGACACACACAGACTCAAACTGAAGGGATGGAAAAAGATATTCCATGTTAACAGAAATGAAAAAATAAAAGCTGAGAAACAGTACTTAGACAAAACAAATTTTTTTTTCTTTTTTTAAAATCATTCTTTATTAAGGTATTATTGATATACACTCTTTTGAAGGTTTCACATGAAAAAACAATGTGGTTACTACATTTACCCATACTATCAAGTCCCCACCCACACCCCACTGCAGTCACTGTCCATCAGTGTAGTGAGATGCCACAAATTCACTATTTGCCTTCTCTGTGCTACACTGTAGACAAAACAGAATTTAAAACAAAGACTGTAATGACAGACAAAGAAGAGCACTATATAAAGATCAAGGGTTCAATCCAGTAAGAAGACTGTAATAATGACTGTAAATATCTATGTTGCCAATAGAGGAGCACCTAGATGCATAGAGCAAATATTGACACACATAAAGGGAGAAAAATTGACAGTAATACAATAATAGCAGGGGACTGTAACACCCCACTTACACATCAGTGGACAAATTATCCAGACAGAAAATCAATTAGGAAATAGTGGCTTTGAATGACACATTAGACCAAATGGAGCTAATACACATACACAGAACATTACATCCCCAAACAGCAGAACACTTATTCTTTTCAAGTGTACACAGAACATTCTCCAGGATAGATCACATGTTAGGCCACAAAATAAGTCTTAATAAATTTAAAAAGATTGAAATCATACCAGGCATCTTTTCTGACAACAGTATGAAACTGGAAATCAATTACAGGAAAAACTGGAAAAAACAGAAACATGTGGAGGTTAAACAGCATGCTATAAACAACCAATGGGTCAATGAAGAAATTAAGGAGGAAATAAAATAATACTTGGAGAATGACAACATAGAAATATAATGTAGAATCTCTGAGATACAGCAAAGCAGTTCTAAGAAGGAAGTTAATAGCGTTATAGGCCTACATAAAGAAACAAAAAAAATCTCAACAATCTAACCCTACACCAAAAGGAGCTAGAAAAAAAAGAACAAAGCCCAAACTTAGCAGAAAGAAGGAAATAACAAAGATTAAAGCAGAAATAAATGATACAGAGACCAAAAAAAACAAAAACAAAGGCTCAATGAAACTAAGAGCTAGTTCTTTGAAAAGATAAACAAAATTAATAAACCTTTAGCTAGACTTATCAGAAAAAAAGACCTAAATAAAATTAGAAATGAAAAAAATTATGGCTTACCACAGAAATACAAAGAATTACAAGAGAATACTGTGAAAAAATATATACCAAGAAATCTGACAACCTTGAAAAAATGGATAAATTCCTAGAAGCATGTAATCTCCCAACACTGAAGCAGGAAGAAACAGAAAATCTGAACAAATTAATAGTAACAAAATTGACACAATAATCAAAAAACTCTCAACAAGCAGAAGGCTAGGACCAAATGGCTTCATAGAAGAATTCAAACACTTAAAGAAGAGTTAATACCTAGGTTCTCAAAGTATTCCAAAACACTGAAGCAGAAGGAAAACTTCCCAATTCATACTACAAGGCCAGCAGCACCTTAATACAAAACCAGAGAACGACACTACAAAAGAAAATTACAGACCAATATCCCTGATGAACATAGATACAAAAGCCCTCAACAAAGTATTAGCCAACTGAATTCAAAAACACATTAGAAGGATCATTCACCACAGCAAACTGGGCATATTCCAGGGATGCAAGGATGGTTTAATATTTATAAATCAATCAAGGTGATACACCAACAAAGGGAAGCATAGAAACCATATGGTTGGGGATGGGTGGGGGATGGAGCAGGAAGGCAAGGTGGAATCCTCCTCTCCAAAACACATAAAACATGAATACAGCAAATACAACCAAACCTGACTGCAGAACAGACTACCTCATCTGAGGAAGAAGGGAAGATGTCACAGAAAAGAGTAAAGTGGCAAGGCTGAGACCCAGCAGGACCCAAGCCCTCCCCACAGGCAGAAGAAAGAACAAAACAGGGAGGGGGTAGAAGCCCAGGACTGCTCAACACCTGGCCAGGAAATCTGCCCCGGGAGCACAAGCCCACATTACATGGTGTTCAGGTGATTAGCAGGGCTGGGCCCACATTACATGAGTTCTGGTGATTAGCAGGGCTGGACAACAAAGACAGGCAGAACACTCGGGGAGGCTGAGGTTCTAGCTGCTTGTAGAGAACAGGCACACACCACCTGCACCTCTGAGATAGATGAAAGCAAAGCGACAGCTGGAAAGACTTCCCAGCAGCGGGAGGGGGGCCAGAGGGGCGAGTATTAGAGAGAGCTCTTGTCTCAGGAGAAAAGGCAGGTGGACAGTACCTCCCCAACCTGCCCTGGCCCAATAGGTCGGGAACTCTCAGGAGTCCTAGATGCTCCATCCCACTCACTGGCAATGCAGCCCTGAGGTTCCTCTCTCCAAGCGTACAGCTGGCATACAACTCACTTGGCCTCACAGTAGTGTAAGATTTTGCTGCCAGGTAGGCAGAGGGAGACCCTCCCAGCTTTCTCAACTCTGTTTCTGCCCAGCCTGGGAGGCACCTATGGTAGCCAGCCCTGGGAGCACCTTTCTCCTGGCAGGCACGGGGTCCTGCCCACCTGCAGCCCCTGCGATTGCTGCAGGCCAGGCAAAGGGCATCCCCATCCACAGCAGAGGCCACAACTCCAGCAGCGGCTTCTGTGCTGATCACAAAGGTGTGGGCCAACGCAAACTGCCTGCCTAGAATCAGACCACTAGAAGGCAGACAGAAAGGGGGCCCGCCCACTGCACACCACCAGCTGGGACTCCTGCACGGGAGAGTAAAGAGTCCTGAGTTTCTGGGCACTAGAGGGAGCCTCCTTCATAAAGCTATTGCCCCACAGGTCAGGAAGCAGCAGAGCCATCTAACACAAAGGAAGAAACATAGAAGAACCCTGACAAAATAAGGAGGCAGGGCAATACATTCCAAACAAAACTATATGACAAGACACCAGAAAGAGGGCTAAATGACACAGAAATCACCAATTCCTCTTAATAAAGACTTCAAATCAAAAATCATAAACATGCTCAAGGATCTACAGAAAAATATCTCAGGGAGGACTTCAACAAAAAGAACACCTGCAAGGAGCTGAAGAATACAGTACCTGAATAGAAACATACAATGGAGGGATTTGATAGCAGATTATCACAGAGTGAAGAAGTTATAAACGATATAGAAATTAGGGAACAGGAAAACAATGAAACCGAAAAACAGAAGAGAAAAAAGGATCTCTAAGAATGAAACAATAGTAAGAGCTGTGTGACCAATCCAAATGGAACACTTCCAGAATGAGAAGAGGGAGACAAAAGGACAGTATCTTTAAGGAAGTAATTGTTTGAAAACTCCACCAATCTGGGGAAAGAAACAGACACTCATGTCATGGAAGCACTGAGAACCCCCAACAAAAGAACCCCAGGAAGACAACACCAAGACATATAATAATTAAAATGGCAAAGATAAGGAGAGAGTACTGACAGCAGCCAGAGAGAGAAAAAAGATTATTTATAAAGGAAATTTCATCAAGCTATCAGCAGACTTCTCAGCAGAAAATTTACAGGCCAGAAGGGAGTGGCATGATACATTTAATGTAATAAAACAGAAGAACCTCCAATTCAGAATCCTTTACCCAGCAAGATTATCATTTAAATTTGAAGCAAATATTAAACAATTTTCAGATAAACAAAAGTTGAAGGAATTCACCACCAATAAGCCAGCCCTACATGATATGTTAAAGGAACTGCTGTAGACAGAAATGTTCCTAAGACTAAACAGCTTTCACCAGTGAAGATAAACCCACAGTATAGGTAGTAGATCAATTAATTACCAAGCAAGTACGAAATTAAAACAGAAGAAGAAAAATCAACTACTCACAAAATCAGTCAAGGGATACACAAAAAGCGCAGATTATGACATGTAATACATAATGTGTGGAGGAGGAGGAAGAAGAAAAAAAGTACCTTTAGACTGTGTTTGAAATAGAGT